TTTTTTTTAGCGAGAATAATATAGTTTGTAAATCAAATAATAAATGCGACTAACTAAATTTATGAGAATCATTAGGGAAGAACTTAAAAGCGCGAGGTAAGGAATTATGTCATATGTGATAGTGTTCTTTCGGTATAAAATCTATTAAACGGTTAGCAATGAATATCTTTCAACTAAACACTATTAAATTAAAATATTAAAATAAGTACCTGAATAGTAAATTGTGGCACATCTTCAATAAATAAATTTACACAACGCGCGAAAAAAATCCAAGATTCAGTGGTCTGCATAAACTGAGCGGAAAAAGCTTCTAAGCCTGCTAGTTTTGAGCACAAGACAGTCAAAGCCTCCACATCCGCTGATGCTATCAAAGTGAAAACTGATGCAATTGTCGTGTATTTGTGTAGCCATTTATGAAAAGCATTGTTTTGAGAAACTTCATAAATTACGAGTGTAAAGGCAAGCAATCCATTAAAACAGATTGGAGCCAGAAGAAATATCAAACTATTATAGTTTAAACAGAAATTTACAATGTATTTTAATATAAACAGCACTAATATACACTGCTATTTTAACAAACCTTGGAAGAAAAAGCCACGGCACATCATGTCCATTTCGAATAATCCATAAAACATCTAATAGTAAGTCTGTAATTAATAAAGCGAGAGTAAAGACTACAAAGTTTCTTCCCTAAATATAATAAACTTAAGTATTTTATAAATAAAATCATAAAACTGCTATTTTTTGCGATTACCTCTTTGTACTTATAACGAGCAATCAGAAAAAGAATGCATAAGATAATAAAAATAGAGCCAGTTATATAAACAACATATTGATACTCTTCCCAGAAATTAGCTTTTTGTATGAATAAAAAGTAAATAGTTAGCAAAATTGACTTGTTTACTAAGGCAAATAAATTTACTCACGTATTTGTTTAAACCCATATTCTTCATCCAAAAAATTAGTGTAATTATACAAAGAGATTCCAGTGATTTTTTTATTTAAAATTAAGGCATTCAAGTCAAGTATGATTTCTTTGACATTACGGCTTGATAAATCATTATTAGAATTAATCTGTAAGCTTAATAAAAGCTGAGGCTGTTTGGCTGAATAGTCGTAACCAACGCGCTTAGCGATTTCGATTCGATTCGAATTAATTGGAATTACTTGTGCTATATCTTCTTTAAGATAATTTAAGAAATCCCGTTTTTCGTCCAGTGAGAGATTGAGATACTGATTGGTTCCTTCGAGAGTGAGACGAAGCAATCCTATGGCTGACGCTTTAAATTATAACTTTTTTGTCAATATTGTTTGTTTGCTTATGCATATATTACCACAAATAAACTTACCAGCATATTTTTCGGTTTTTTGTGCTAATTTATATATTTATATTAAAGTTGTTAGGTACGTAATAAAATCCATTTTTAGTGAATTTTCAAGTATAAATATATTTAAATGGCTCACTTGAGTTAAATTTCCAAACATAAGCCTCAATTCCAATTAATGCTTCATTGAATTTACGAGTTTTGACAAAATCGCTATCCACAACGACATAATATGAGGCGCCAGGTTGATTAAATGTACTGCGCAAAATTTTAATTCCTACTGTATACTCATTAATTGAATAGCAAAAAAGAGATTGACCAGAAGTTTTTTGTCGAAGAATTGAGTTATTTCCATAAATCTGATAGATTGCGACACTACGAGACGATACATTAATCTTTTCAGTATATGTAACTGTTATATCAGTCGTGTTTGTCGGAATAATAGCGTTGATACTAGGATTCGTTGAGACAATATTTGGATTTTGATATCCATTATCTAAGAGATTAATATCGATATAGAAGTTTTTAGTTTTTAAATATGCATAAAAAGCGAATACATATTAAGTATTGGACTACCTGTGGGCATAAATTTTGTGACATTAGTCGATAAAATAATATAGTCTCCTTGTTCATTTTGGCTTGAGACTAAATAAATTTTATTACTATAGTGAACCATCGGTTGCATCGTTATAGTAGTATTAACTGGGAAATCCCATATACCACTATATTTTCCATCACTATCATAAATTTTTGCTGAGAGGATTTTCGATTCAATTGGATTGAATTCATAACTTAATAAAATAAATCCACCATATCGTAATGCCAAAAGATCCGTTATCGAGTTTGAACTAGTAATATCAGTAAGTCTGTCGATCTTTATCAGTGATCCGGTTGAAAGAAATGTAATTTTGAGATAAGTTCCTTGAAATGTTTGATTGTCCTTTTTTATTATTTGCAAGATGCATTGATATCCTTGCCCATCAAAGGCTGCGTTGCATGGGCGAGTAATTATATCATCCAAATCAGCTATAGTTTGATATAGTATATATGGTTCCGTGAATTCTTTGGCACCTGGCCGTAAAAATCGTACAGATACTTCCCATTTGGGTTCAACAAGTATTTGCATATTCGTAATGTTTTGAATGTTCCCTACTCTCGAACTTGCGATCGCGCCAAAACTAATAATATAAGTTTAGTTTTAGATTAAGAATTTATAAGAAAGTATTAATTCTTTGATAATTACCCTCCATCCACCATTTGGAATATGAAGCCAACTGTATAATTGTTATTAGTGAAATTACCATTGGCAATTCGATTTATTTCGCCTCGATAATTTCTTAATTCAAAATCATGTAGGTTATGTAATGCACTAGGAAAATTCTAACATGATTTTGATAACTTACGGAGGGCTGAGCAAACTCCAAGCACTTATACTCATATTCTGAGTACGCATACCAATTAAAAAACCTTGATCTGTATTAATATTTGGTATAATAACTGGTTTACGTAGACTAGTTTCTACATTAAAATCGTCACCGAGAGGTATATCACTACATATGCGTAAACATTGTTTAGATCATTTTTTATCTTGAATCTTTTTATTTAATATTTACCTTGATAGAATTTGGCCGCTTTCATCAGATATTGCTGCAAAAAGAGTGTATTTTACAGGAGAAGATTCAATACTTTTAAAATATATAATAAGTACAAATTTCTCGTTGATAATTGTCGCGCGTAGTGCCACTTCATTATTGTAATAAGGTATCAATCCAGTGCAGACGTTTATAACAGGAAACTGAAATTCAACATCAATTAGAATCAAAATCCCATCAGGTTGAATCTTCCTTATTCTGATTTTTGGCTCAAAACAAGTATCATTCAGTTTCCGCATTAATTGATATACAACGATTTTATAAGGCGTGATGGACATATTGGGTGCTGCTAGTAAGTTTCTTTCATTTTCATGATAAGTAAAATTATCATATCCAGAAGTTAAAGATAAAAAATAAGTAATATACGTGTACAAAAAAATCCAACATATTATAGCAGATTTCATTTTTGACTGTAATTACGTATTATTTTTTTT